AGTGGAATACGTGGCGCATTTCAAAAAACGACTTATCAGCGCCAAATTGCTCATCCATTTGGTTCTCACTATGAAGACGAAGATGCACGAGAATTATGGTCGAGGGAGTTCGAGGACAACAGCTCATGCTTTTGACATGAGATTGTGCATGTTTGGCTCTCAGAAGGGTGGGACGGGCGGGGAGGTTTGTCGGTAGATACTGGCACCATGTAATCGGTGGATGGAAGTGAGAATTTGTATAGGAACCAGAAGAAAGGTTGATATGGGTCGTGATGCACTTGCCTTACGAGACATAACATTTTTCAGCGTTTCTTACTTAGTCTTCTCTTGGCAGTCCAATCATAACCGCAACACATCTTTGATCTCAATAGGTTATGAGGGCATTTTCAGGCAGACTCGTCAAGACACTCGCTTGTCTTCAATTTGCCAATGTGTGATGCAAAGTTCCTAATGCTGAAAAGCCGGCTTACTTCCGAAATCTCTGATGTTTGACAGGAAAAAGCTGATTTAGGTATAGGACGTCAATCCCACTGTTTAGAGCTATGCTAGAGTCAAGCACAAGCAAAATGCTTGCAATATTTCAGAAACCATGTCACACAGCATCGTAACACTTAGACTTCTTGTATATCCAAACGGGAGCTGGGGTAGCGTGTCACCGGAAATGACATTGCGGCAACGCTGTAGATGATCGCGCGATAAGCTGTTTCCACATACATGGCTGAATCGGTTAAGAATGCGGCAACAGCTTATCCACGGTGATTCCTATCAGTGCAGCTGGCAATCATGGCAGTTTCCGTGACACTTCTATCCATTGGCTATAGCTCCCCTTCAATAAGCCAAAAGTGGTCGTGCAGAGCATACACCACAATGACGACGGCCTCCAGAAATGCAAATGTTTTTTGCAATTAAATGATTAAACCTTCACAGTTGTATTCGATCCGTCGACACTATTAACCACATATTCTACAAAAATCAGCTATCACTATGAACCCCCTACTACCAAAGATTTCCTTGTTTGCGTCATTGTCGGCATATGGTATGGCGTCGTCATGTGTGTTTCGTCTCACCCTCACACTTTCTGGCTTTTGAAGGGAGTGACATTTACATGAACAACTTCCTGCCTAATCAAAAGCTGAGACCTTCTATTATATGTTTATTACTCTGCGAAAGGCAAACGTGAGAAAGTAACAACAACGTGATGTGAACTATCAAACAGAAACCTGCACACAAGCAAACAAAAATAATATAAATATGAATTAAGCTTTAATTAGTCTCTGAAAACATTAGTTTAAGATCTGCTTTGCTCAGCGTAATTAACAAAATGGCGAGTAAGTGCGCAGCGATAAAAGATGGGTACCTTCTTCGATAACTTAATAGTCATGCCAGCCCTGAGCCGAAGTTTCTTGCCTAAATTATTTAGGGCGCTTCAGACAATATTTTCATGGAGCCTCCCTTAAGTTTTCAAAAGATGTCCATTGAATACATGGAGGGACCGTAACCGGACGCGCCTGTACCAGTTATGGACAATAGAGGTAAACCTGCGCCTCACTTCTAAGATGTCAGTCACTATACTGATACCTAAATAGCTGCTTTTGGTATTTTGGAGTAGCAAAAACACCGATTCGAATAGCATTTACGAGTGATTATTTGAAACCTTCTCAAGCTCATATACATGCTTTCTCCTCGTGGTGTTTAATACGTATGAAGTGCTGACTCAACCAGGGGCGCACATATGATTGTAAGCCACGCAACAAAACATCTTTGTTTTGCTAGGGATAAGCCTTTGAAAATTTGGGAAGTTCGTGCATTTTAATGTGTTACGTGAAGTCCACTTTGATATAATTGAAACCGAGATCTCTGAAAATCTCAGCAGGAGAGCACGCCATCTACATTTAACGATCGCATCGACGGTGAAGTTCCAGACATTAGTCGTCTTAAATATTACTAACTATCTGCGTTATCCATATTTCTTCCGATAAAAAAGTGGCATGTCAGACCGATTTTGTTCTATATCCATTTTTTATGTGATAATCAGCATCACATTAAAAGACTGTCAGTATTCCAGAACTGGAAAGATCAAAACTTACGAAGATTGGATTGAGGATATCCACACAATCAGCGACCTATTTCAGAAAGAGAGCGATCCAATGAATTGTTTGCGTGGTGAGTTCGATTGAATCTAAGTTCCGAAACGAGCAAAGCTAAAGTTCAAAATTTCAGAAAGTTTCGAAAGCAGTGCGCAACTTATTTATTTTTTTCATTACAGCTCTCCTCCGTAAGCCACAGTAATCGGGCCGTATGCAAACAAGCCTGCAGCACTAAGATGATATATCCCCTCACGGGAAGGATCCAGGTCGACGTGCCATTTGTAACGAGAATGCACCACTCGATGTGTTTTTGGAACATGACTCGAATTCTGCTCTCCAATTCTTGAAGGATTCCCTGAACGTAGTTATTAAGGAGATAGTGCAGTGAGCGCCCCAGGCGACCGGAAAAGAGGTCGTGGAATCGAATTCTGGCGATATTCACATTTGCTTTGCCTTGAGACATTTGCCTAAAATGCTTTTCTCCATATAAATTTAGCGATGCCTATATGCTAGTTGAATAGCTAGCGGGAGCATCTAACACTGTACCCGCCCTTCCAAAATATCGCCCCTTGTACTCGTGCTGCAAGGGTGCAGGGCAATTCGTGCACAAGATTATATTCGTTATTCACGCACGTCAAGAATAATGCCCTTTTCACAACGTTCGTTCCAAATCAGAATTTGTACATACTTGAGCATGTGGCATCACGGTTGGTCATTTGCACATGGCACCACACTTGATCGAACTCCCTCGTATCTCCTCGCCCTAGTAATAAAGCATGCTGATGACTAGCATAGATAGTATTTCTTACCATTTGCCTCAGGAAATAGCAACATCAAAACCGCCGAAAATTCGCATCCCACACTCTTTCCCGTTGGCCGTGCCGCTCACCTGTATCACGTGCTTCATAATTACTTCGAGATTGGTTCCACAGATTTGGAGAGCAGATTCGAGATCAGCGTCCAAAAACACATCTAGTGGTGTATGTCTTGTTACAAATGGCCACTTCGACCTGGGATCCTTCCCTTGTCAGTCGTATGCAGCAAGCCCCGATGCCCGCGGGGGACATATCCCCTCAGTCGTATGCAATAAGCCCCGATGCCACTGAGGGGATACGTCCCCTCGCGGGCGTCGGGGCTTGTTGCATACGGCCCCTGGACCCGTTGCCTATAAAGATAAAGCATCCGCCGTTGATCAATCTCTAATTGGGATGCGGCACGCATTCTACTTCCATTTGTACATTAGTAGTGGGTCTGGTACCAATTAACCGACCCGGAGGGATGGAGGGCTTGGTTGGCCCGGGAGACTCGCAACCCAGTACTTGATCCCCGGACCGCTGGCGTGGTAAACGTGCCACTTGCCACTACACCACTTCCGCCCTCCCGTTGCCAATAACAAACGAAAACTACAAGATGCAACCTAGACAGCCATATGGGTGGATGTGTGTATTAAACCTTCATCACAGTGGTCGTATTTATTGCAAAGGATCCCCATCTAGGTCGAGCATTGCGTCAAAAGTCTTCATACAGTGGGGCAAAATTACTGGTGCACTAAATTTTCAATGGCATTTTGACAATAATTCTCACAGATCAATTCTAATTATCTATATTATTTACTACAAACACGACAATACAAAAAATGTTAGTGCTTCTCAAAATGATCTCCTTTAGCCTCTATACAATCCTTCAGACGTTCGACAAATGCTTCGCATGTGGCACGCAGGTACTGGTCATCGATTTGAAAGCGCCGCCTTAAGAGAGTCCAAGTTTGGATGTCTGGTAGAACACGCTTTGCTCTCCAAGATGGATCACACAAGTAATACATCGGGTTTGGATCAGGAGAACTGGAGGGCCATTCGTCGTGTCTGATGAAGTCGGGCAGGTGCTCGGCGCACCACTCCTGGACCATCTCTGCTTTGTGTGCTGGAGCAGAATCCTGCTGGAAGCACCAGTAGGCTTCTCTGAAATGGGAGTTGGCAAACGGCTTGAGAACTTCCTCCAGGATATTTTTGTAAACCTCTGTGTTGATTTCTACACCAACTTCAACGACAACAAGTGGGTTCTTTCCCGTAGAGGTGACTCCTCCCCAAACAAGAATGGACTGGGTTGTTTCGCTCTTTCCTGGAGTCTTGCCTTGGTGGTAGCATCAGCAAGTGATCCTGCAATAATCCTCTCATTTTGAGAGTTGAAGGCTATTAAGATAAAATTTTCATCACTGAAAAGCGATGTCTCGGCGCGTGCCCTGTGAATCGCAGCAGCAACTTGTTGCTCTCTCCAATCTCCTTTTCTTCATAATGTCCGTCCAGGATTGGCATTATCTGCAAGCGATACGGGGAACTTCCTATAGCTTTACTTTGGACAAACTCCTCGGCTCTTGACCCTCCCGCGCTACTCCACAGTCTTTCGCCATCCTGGCGCATCGCTCTCTGCACGTTCTTCGAATTATTCTTTCTCTGAGGAAAGCCTCACAGTTCTCTTCCGAATCCTAGTCTGTTTGTGGGAAGCTCCTCTTTCTTGCCTGTCGCTTTCGTCTTCAGTTCTTTATAGACGTCGATACGTGTCCGTTCGGAACGTCTTCGAGGTCGAAAGGATCTTTAACAATTTCTCTGTTTGTTGCCGTTGTTTGATGAAGTTTGGTGCGTTGCGTGGTCAGAACGACGGCCATTTTTATAATTCGAGAACGTAGGAATCATACGCAAGCTTCAGCAACATATTCACAAGCGAGGAACAGGAATCTCAAGAAGTGGTTAACAAAATTCAACGTATCGTGCAGCCAGTTAATTTTGTCGCCACCTGTACATATACGTGGTCCCCCCAGCACATGCGTCCATCCAATCCACGAGAACAATTTCAACAGAGCGGGGACGGATAGTATTTAGAGTGATTAGGAATTATAAACACCTTCCCGCGAGCACGATGAATGGTCGGGCCTGGTGACGTCGTTGAACGAATTCGCTGAACCAGACTCCTCAAAACGACGCGGTGGGGAAGTGTGCCTGGGATCGCCTCCCAATGTCGTCCCACACAACGCCCACTGACGTAATGAAAATCGTTCGCTTCCAGCCGTTGTGTGCGCTTTCTTCAGAGCTTGCATGCATAGAGTGACAATTTCTATACCTTGCTTTACTCGAAATGTATATGTTCGTGCCTAGCGCGGAAATCACCATTCCGAAAACCCTCAAAAAGAACTTAGCAATTTTGGATTATGTGTGCATGAACTGTTACACATACTAACGCAGTTTTATTGCTCTTTTCGTTATTATCGTGAACGATGCTTCCCAAGCCAGTGAGTTATGGGTGAAAAAGTATCACGATTTTTCCGATAAAAATCCTTTTAAGAAACGTGGTGCAACATCTATGAAACACCCTCTATCAAGTGCCCTAATCTGCACACTTAACATTTAGGATGCTTTCCCCTAGCGAATGCAACGCACATTTTAGTTGGAGTAATGACTTAGCATTGAAGGTACATTGATGAGCCTGACACCACTCTTCATAAACACGGTTTCTATGACGGCGTACTTCGAGAAACTCTGGCCTATCTCGACGAAGTTTTCACACGTCTACTCGACGATATGCAGAAGCAAGGTCTGCTCGACCAAGTCAATATCATCCTGACAGCTGATCATGGACATGCTCAGGTGCTACTGCTTAATTATACACACATACCTACCACTGGGATTGCCCGGCCGAGCCGGGCTCTCCCCCTTCTTGAAGGAATCCCCCAGCAGCAGCTGGGTGACTTTTTAGAAGGATGACTTGGTAGCCCCTAAAGTAACGATCTCAGTCAAAATACGCAATTTAAGAATCACACATCCCTGGATATTAATTAAAAAGAATCCAAAAAATTCGATTTCTATCACGCATTGTTAGTATGAAAAGTGATGTACTAGGAGCCCGAGAAGGGTGGCAATATCTGAGTACTGCTGGTTTGCAGCGGCTCCATCTATATATTAGATTGTGCATGGGATCCTAAGCAAGTCCTGAGCCGATTTGAAAGCTCCAGAACTTTTGCTTATGAACATTCGCTTATCGATCGGCACTAGAATCTGCAAGTATAGATTAGCGTCAACTTTTCATACTTATCCAGCCAGTAGGTATCATAGCCTTGTGATAGACTCGGGACTCATTTCACCATTCCTCGTCCTCTACGCACTCCACAGGAATGTCGCCGACTCGCATGGATCCCTCAATGTCATGACAGATAGCACGCCGAGTTTACAGTGCCGGGACCCATTGTCAGCCTCGCGTATCTTGCCCGCACCGAAGGAGTTTCTGGAAGACTTTAGAATAAGCGCAAAGGAGATTGGGCGTCTACTTCTAACAAGCCACGCGAAGTTGTGGCTCCGTGAGGAGAAGATCCGCCAACAAGCGAATCGGACCTTCGCCCAGACTGTCTTCTTTGCTGCTTTTGGGATTCGCGAGGAATGTTGCATTACGAGGTGCTCCCGCAAGGGCACACCTTCACCGGCAACATTTGCAATCAGCTTCAGGAAGTGGCTTACGCTTTTTGAGAAAATGACCTAGACGAGCTTCTGTCCACCTACTTCACGATAACCCCAGGCTCCGCTATAGCTAAAAGGCCCATGCAAAATTAGAAGAGCTGGGGTAGGACTCGGTTCCCTGCCCATCCTATTCCCCCGACATTGCCCCCTCTGACTGTCACTTGCTTCCTTAAGACATTCCCAGCGAAGAAAAAACTCGCCAAGTTGAAAACGTTGAAAAGGTGGTCGATGATTTCTATAGCTTCCAGTCTCTCCAGTTCTAGGAGAATAGGATCGCTGACCTGCTCGTAAGGTGGGACAATGTAGTGAGTAACAATGGTGATTATATTGTGAGTAAATTCCATGGTATGCGGAATAAAAATGAAAACAAAAAAGGTGTCAAACGGCTCAGGATTTTCTTACCATCCTAATAGCAATATAATGAGATTTACTTCCAATTAAATGGGCCTTTTGAAGCTTCAAAGGTTTGCTAAATAATAGAGTGACAGGTGATTTCGAATCTCAATATCCTCCGCAAATGTTTTCTGATTAGGTAGTGTGGAGTTTTATAAGGAGCTGCAATATTCAAACAATATCATATCATTAATGTTCATTTTACAGATAGAAGGCATAAAGAACATATTATGTGTCAGTGACTATGTAGCGATGGACTGGACTCGAATGAGAGTGGGACAGAATTTGATTTATACCTATGACAAAGCTCACGCTGAAGAAATCTACAATAATCTGACAAAAGCTGTGAAAGATAATGATCTGAAAATTAAGGTCTACAGGAAAAGTGTAAGTCACAACCTCCGCATATCTTTGTTGTCACTTGCTTACTATTTTTGGATTTCCCAGTAGACGAAGCAATTCGGTACGGGTGGGTGAAGCCGGTGAGTAGGAGAGGATAACCTGCGAGTATCATAGCTGTGGCGTTGTAGCGGCTCCAAAATGAGCGGTGATGGTGCTAGAGCTTTATAAAGTGAGCCGATGACGGCTAATGCAAGCTTATGCAGAAGACACCTCGCGCACACCTCATTACAAGCAGCGTGGACTACAACGTAGCGGCTAACTGAAATGCGCCCGGGTTAGTGGAGCCATGGAGCAAGCAAGTACAGATAACTTGTTCGGACACGCCCTCCCTCATTTTAAGGTGCTAGAAAGGGAGTTTAAGGGTTTCACGGCGGTTTGTTTCGCTTCCCTTCCCACTAACAGTCAACTCGGCATCCACAATCATTATTGACCACTGTTACCCTACCATTTTGGTAGGGATTGTTGCTTTGAGGATTCTATACAGGGTTGGACCATCGGTTCCCCACACTTAGTCGAGAAAACGGTAGAGATTTAGGGCTGCGGAGTGGTCCCCTCATTGCAAAGGAGCTATTGAAGTCTCATGTAAGAGCCCTAAAGGACGAACTCACGATTAGAATGAAAGACGAAGAAGGAGTAATCCACCTAGTTGAGGGACCCGCGGACCTCCTAAGGCCGAAGTCAGACTTTGCAAATCGCGCGTTCGCTAGCGTCTGCGATCGCGTCGCAGCCAGTGAATCACTCAATTGGCTGGTACCGCAACGCGACCGCGGACGCTAGCGAATCGCACGAATCGCTAGTAGCGAATCGCGCGACTCGCT